GTTAAAAGGGGTAATTTCATAATTTTCCTTTTAAGCATTTTCTTTGTCTGCATTCCTCAAAAGTTTCATTAACCATTTAACAAATAATATCTCAAATCTCAAAGATTATCAAGTCCAATAGTGTGGTAATTATTTGTGGGTAATTTAGTAATTTTACAACAATAAATTAGTTGGTAACTGATAAACTAGTTGATAGCTAATGAACAAACGATGCTTACAAAAACTAACTGAAAAACATGTAAAATGATCAAAAAGAATATTTTAAAAAATTAGTCAGTTACAACTTTGTATAATATAACTAAAACAAATCTTTAAAAATATAATATATTAAGTAATACAAACAAGATAAAAAAATTAAATAATATAATATATTAATTAAAATAATTCTAGATTAATTATATATATTATAAAATTTTAATTTGTTAAAACAACTTTTAGAGAAAATCAATATTAGTTTATGACTTTAAATAATTATTATATAATATAAATAAAGTTAATAAACATCAAGTATCTTATTAATTAATAATTTTTCAAAAAATATAATTATTAATTAAATAAAACATTTTTTCTAAAATATACTTAGGGGGTGTTTGGGATTGCTTATTTGAAACAACTTATGTTTTTCTATAAAAGCACTTATCAACTTATTACAAGTCAGAAGAGTTTAACTTCTTCAAAAACTCCTTATTACCGGTTTGGCACCGGTATAAGTTGTTTATCCAAACACTCAAAAGTGCTTATATAAAAACATTTTTAAAATCATTATATTTGATTTTTGATAACTTAATATATCAAGTAACAATATTAACAATTAAAAAATAATAATAAAAATCACTAATATGATTACAATAATTCAAAATAAATAATAATTAATATTAATTTAAAGTTAAAGTTAATTAATATTAATTACTATAATTAATATTTATTGATAACTAGTTAACGTTCTATTTTGAAGCAATAACTAGTTAATTAATTACTATTAATTACTATAATTTCATTTTAGTCAGCGTTTATGTAAATATCTTAGCATTTGCGTAAAGCCTACTTTCAGATTAATGGAAATTATTTATGCAAACGAGGATCCTTACGCATTCGTTTAATGTTATTGACTATTAAGTAATAGTTGAAAAAATATTGTATATATATATATATATATATATATATATAGGGCTGTAAACAAACCGAACGAACACGAACGGAGGCTTGTTCATGTTCGTTCGTTTAACTTAACCGAACAAACGAACGAACACGAACGGTAAACAAACGGAAATCTTTGTGTTCGTGTTCATTCGTTTAAAAATAAGGTGTGTTCGTGTTCGTTTATGTTCGTTCGTTAACATGCTAAACGAACGAACATAAACGAACATAAATAAATATTATTTGATTTCAAAGTAAATAAATAAAAGATTATATATTAAATTTAATATATAAACGAACATAAACGAACGAATATAAACGAACGTTAATGAACGAACGAGACTCTTGTTCATGTTCGTTCGTTTAACTAAACGAACAAAAACATTTGTTCATGTTCGTTCATTTATTAAATAAACGAACATAAATGAACTTCCCGCCGAACGGTTCACGAACGGTTCGCTGAACGTTCGGTTCGTTTACAGCCCTATATATCTATACTATCTTATAAAGCATTTGGCTAAAACTCTTAAAACTCTTAAAACTCTTAAAAACTTTTAAACTCGTTCATCCCTATCCGATTTCATCCCATATCTGAATTCGTGTCTAATTGCAGATAAACACAATCAAATACAGGATAAACATCTCATTTTAAATATAAAAAATCTAAAATATAATTAATATAATCATTAAATTCTAACAGAANAGTTAGTTTTTATTTTATTAATACTTATAGTTTATTGCATTAATAATTAACATTTATTTATTTATTATTATTATTATTAATAAATAACAATAAATATTAATAAAGGTTATAACTAAAAAAGAGACAAGGGGGTGTTTGCATTGGTAATAAGCATTCTTGAGTGTTTAGATAAACAATTTATAATGGTGTCAAATCGGTAATAAGAAGTTTTTGAAGAAGTTAAACTTTTCTAACTTATAATAAATTAATAAAGATTTTTGTAGAAAAAACATAAGTCAGTTTCAAATAAGCATTCCCAAACACCCCCTAAAAGCTCCTATCCAAATCGTTTACTCAAAATATAAGTTAGGGGTTGTTTACTTGTGGCTTAATTATGTTTATTGGTCTATCTGGCTTATTCGTATTTACTTACGACTTATTCGCACAGAACATGGCATAACCGCAACAGACAGAAATGGTGTGTCATCCTCATTCAGCCATAAAAATGACACCCTTATCTCTTATTTAAAACGCCGCCTCCTTTCCATATGAGACACCCCATCATCGGTCTCTTTATGATTTTTTGTTTTTGATGTTCAAATAATTAATATTGAGAGATAAATCGGTCATTTATGTTATTCAGACTGTTGGATCAAATAAAAAAATAAACAACACTTGTTTATCTAAACAGACAAATTTATTCATACAAAATTGGTAAACAGCGCTTCTTATGATGAGCTAAAAATCAAATTTAGACCTTTGCTTTTGCAATCATACCCAACAAGACCAAAAATTATAGGGGCAATTTAGTAAATTACATTGTTTGAAGCTAATTCTTTAATCTAATCAAATACCTGTACATATTTGAACAATAAGTCAAATTCCTTTGACAGGGGTAATTTTGTCATATCATTTTTATCTTAATTTTTTCCTAAAATGCTTTGGGCAATAAGTGAATAATTCAACATACTTCAAACTATTTATCAAGTGTAACGCTACATGGTTCATTTAAGGGAGAACTGACTAGTTTGTGATAACCGTGAGATCCAATTTCAACCGCAAATCAATAGATAAATTAGAAAATTTATAATTTTTGTAATTTTGAATTAAAATTTTAATGCGATAACATTTTAGATATTTTCTCTCCTCCCTTCTCTTCTCTCTCTCTGTCCTCCGTCCTCCCGCCCACCTTCTTCCAGTGATACCACTGTGATACCTAAAAATAGTGATTTTGTTAAACAAAAGACATAGTGTGATACTCGAGCACATATAAGATGCATTGTGATACCACTGTGTTATATCTCCGATAGACCATAAAAAGACCTCAATGTGATACATAAGCACATACAAGATGCATTGTGATACCACTGTGGTATCACCGGAGGATGGAGGGAGAAGAAATGAGAGTTTTAAAATACCTAAAATATTCTTACAATAAAATTTTAGTTCAAAATTACCAAAATTATAAATTTATTAATTTATCTATTGATTTGTGGTTGAGATTAGACCTCACGGTTATCACAAACTAATTGGTTCTAATTTGATTAGGCTCCATAACACTCCAACTACAAATAAACATAATAAAATATTTCAAATCATTTATTAAATAGAACATTACAATAAACTAATAATATAATGATTGTTGGTTAAAGGGGTAACTTCGTAATTTTCCTTTTAAGCATTTTCTTTGTCTGCATTCTTCAAAAGTTTCATGAACCATTTAACAAATAATATCTCAAATCTCAAAGATTATCAAGTCCAATATTGTGGTAATTATTTGTGGGTAATTTAGTAATTTTACAACAATAAACTAATTGGTAACTGATAAACTAGTTGATAGCTAATGAACAAATGATGCTTAACAAAAAGTAACTGAAAAACATGTAAAATGATCAAAAAGAATATTAAAGAATTTAATCACAAGGGTGGTGTCTGATTGGTCTGAATTTGACTTTAAAGGTCAAAAGTAACATGATGTCTCAGGTTCAAATTCAAAGAGAAATAAAAATTCTCTTATGGTCACGGAGGTTTAAATGCGGTGACTTTGGGCTATCTGCAAAGCAGGTGATTGCCCTGAGATTAGTCGCTCGCATAGCGGGTTGGATATCCAGGTTAATAAAAAAAAGGAATATTAAAAAAATGAATATAAATTTATTTTATATTAACTTATATGAAAACATTTTTAAAATCATAATATTTGATTTTTGATAACTTAATACATCAAGTAACAAAACTAACAATTAAAAATTAATAATAATAAATCATTAATATGATTACAATAATTCAAAATAAATAATAATTAATATTAATTTAAAGTTAAAGTTAATTAATATTGATTACTATAATTAATATTTATCGATAACTAGTTAACCTTCTATTTTGAAGTAATAACTAGTTAATTTTTATTTTATTAATAATTATAGTTTATTGTATTAATAATTAACATTTATTTATTAATAATAATAATAATAATAATAATAAATAACAATAAATATTAATAAAGGTTATAATTAAAAAAGAGACTAAGGAGGTGTTGGTGGTAATAAGCATTTTTGAGTGTTTAGATAAACAACTTATATCGGTGTCAAACTGGTAATAAAAAGTTTTTGAATAAGTTAAATCATTCTAACATATTATTTAATAAGAGTTTTTGTAGAAAAATATAAATTGTTTCAAATAAACAATCACAAACACCCCCTAAAAGCTCCTACAATACCACAGAGTTCCAATAAAGTTTATTTTAATCCAAATCGTTAACTCAGAATATAAGTTGTATAAAAGGTTGTTTACTTGCGGCTTACTTAAGCTTATTGATCTATCTGGCTTATTCTTACAGTTCATTTTGGGTGTTTACTTACGGCTTATTCGCACAAAACATCGCTTAATCGCACAGACAGAAATAGTGCGTTATCCATAAAAATGACATATCTATCTCTTATTTAAAGCACCGCATCCTTCCCATATGAGGCACCTCATCATCGGCCTATTTATGATTTTTTGTTTTGATGTTCAAATAATTAATATTAAGAGGTAAATTGATCATTTATGTTATTCAGACTGTTGGTTCAGATAAAAAAAATAAACACCACCATCAATTTATCTAAACAAACAAATTTATCCATACATGACTTAATAAATTTTTTGGTAAACAGCCACCTAGCTTCTTGGTAAACAGCCACTTAGCTTCTTTTGTTGAGCTAAGAATCAAATTCAGACCTTTGCTTTTGCAATCATACCCAACAAGACCAAAAATTAGGGGCAATTTAGTAAATTACATTGTTTGAAGCTAGGGCCAATTTGGTAAAATTACACTTTCACCTTTCATTGGAACCTAAAAAAGAGGCTTTACATCTAATCTTCTAAGCCAGCCACATCCCTAAGTAACCACCCAATCCCATAAGCTGCAAACCCAGCAAGTGCACCATTAAAGAGGGTCCCACCGACCGACACCCAGTAATTTTGGCCGGCGATCTTGGCCTTGGCAATCCCGAGGATTGCCAAGGCCAGCGCCGACAGAATACAGGCGCCAATGAATTTGTGAGTGTCGTTGCGTGTGAACGGGATCAGAATGATGAATGCAAGGATCGGAAAGCTACCGAACACCAGAAAGGCTCCGAACGTTATCAAACCTTTCTTCCACGGCTTCTCGCCGTCGTCTGGCGATAGGATTCCGTTTTGGACCATCTTCTCGTCCACCATTATGTCGCCATACTTTGCGAAGATGTTCACGACCTTGGAAAAAGAGGACCATTTTTGTAAGTAATTGTAAACGAAGTCGAAACGTGTAGATGACAAAACGGGCGGGTTTGGTGACATTTCAAAACGGATTTAGGCCAAACGAGTAACTTATGCAACGGAATTTGTAATTTGTCTGAATGCCGAATGCAATATAACACAGTTCCAAATTTTCCTACTTAATATAACAAAGTTCTAAAATATCTTCTTTACCGTGACAGTGTTTTTGCTGTGAAGGTAAAAAAACCTTTCATACCAAAAACACTGTGAAGATTATTTTCTCCGTGTTTTGCTGTGAAGTTTTAAGTGTAAAAATCGTCTCTCGTGTCTCACGAAAACAGTCATGTCTGATCCCAAGTCTATATATGTGTATATATATATGTATGTATATACCATGGTTGCATCTTGGGTGTTCATCCCAAGAGCTTGATACCGCTGGAGTAACGATTGTTCTTGGCTCCTTCGGCGGTTCGTGACCTCCCACTTCGTCACCATCCGCTCCTTTGCCGCCACGTCCCGCTCGGTGTTACTAGAAACATAGTCTCCGAACCCCATTGATATCCCATCCGCCACCAAGTTCGCAAACCCCAGAACCAACACGTCAACTGTAAGAACCGAAAACAATGGGTCAAAAGATGCATGTATTTTTAGTTCCTGATTGGTTTGAGCTTAGCTGCAAAGATCAAAAGTACCATAAGGTCTCATGTTCAAATCCAAGAAGGAATAAAAATCCCCTTGTAACCATGAAGGTTCAAATACGGTAAATCCAGACTATCTGCAAAGCACATGATCGTTCTGAACGGTTCGCATAGCGACTTGGATATCCAGATGAATCAAATATATATATATATATATATATATATATATATTTAATCTTATAAATCTAAGTCCTACAAAACGGTCTATAAAGACCCTTACCGATTTATAGTATTTTATAAACCCAATTTTCTGCATTAAATTGTAACATTTTTATACAGTCCAAAAAACTGGGTATGTAAAAATGTGCATACCTTTTTACACCGTTCAGATTGAACGGTGTAAAATACACATTTTTGGAGCAACCGGAAACTCACCGGAAGATAACCGGCCGGCAGAAATGGAGGAGATGAGAGAAAACGAAGTGATGATGGCATCGAGTCCGGCGTAGACGATGCTCTTCACAAGTTCTCCTTTCCACGGCTCTTTCGGCCTTTCTCCGCCACTATTCTTCTCTAAAGCCGCCACGTCTGGGAGGAGAGGGGTGGTGGTTGTGGTGGCGCCACCGCAGTTTCCGGCCATTCTTTTGCAACCACCTTTTTTTTTCACCGTGGATTTATAAATAAAAACGGAGAGGGATGAAGACTGTGAAAAAGAAGGTAGAGTTGTTTGATGTCGTGGCAGTTTGCATGTTCAGTGGTATTTACACGTGTTCGCATCTGGTGAATCGTTGACTATTGCTGGGTTTTGACGACACGTGGCAGGTCGAGATTCGTTTGTTCCATAGGTGGTGACTGAGAACGTGTGGCGTGCACACGTTTCCCTTATTGGGAAGGATTTATTGTTAATATTTCTATTTAAATAATTATAATTTGAGTAAACTCCAATTTTGGTCCCTATAGTTTAGCGAAATCTTTGAAACTGGGACGTGAATTTTGATAAGTCTAGAAATTATGCTCATGGTTTACATTTTGCTCTGAAAGTGGTCTACGGTCACTGACTCTGTTAAAAGTTATCCGTTAAGTAAGGGGTAATTGCGTCTTTTTTGCTCTCTCTTTTTGTCTATTTTAGTTTTTTGTCTTTTTCACTTGACTTTTTCTTTTCGAGAGAGAGAAAGAGAGAGTTGCATGATACCCACCATCTCCTTCATTACAGTCGTAGCCACCGTCACAGTCATTTCGCCTGAACCAACTTTCTGAATAAACCCCGCCTAAGCTTTCCTTGCACTGGTGATAAACCTTAGTCTACGTTCAATCTGATTGATTATGGTTGTTAACGTACATGATTGGATCTTCCAACCACTCATCAATGGCCACTGTTTCTTCAAGAACTCGCAAGATTCACTCATCTCGAGATAACCCTCCTCTGCCTCTTTATACACATACACATAGATAGAAATGGCTCGAAATGCGTGTTATGTGTGGGTGTACAAGAGAAATGACCCTCCATTACTGTAACACCCTGATTTTTACCATGAGATATGTTAGGTAATCTACAACAAATTCTCCATAAATACTCCCAAATAATGGCTAAATTAAAACTTTTGGTTGTTTACAGTTAAAGACTTTAAAATAATGTGTAACTCGAAAACTAACCCGTCACATACTGGATTGCATTATAAACTTATCTATCATAGATGTTTGGACATGAATATTGAACTTAATTGGATTAGACAAGTCTCTATGTGTGTCTTTTTTTCTTTGTCCAACCTGAAACTTGATGTCTCTGAGATGCATACTATAGTCAGCTTATAAAACTCAATGAGTTCATAGTTTGCGTGAATAAAAATCACTTCACAACACACATATCAACTTGTAAACTCTGTACCAAATAGTATGCATTTTCTAAAAAAAACATGCAACACTAAAAGAAAATATATCTCATAAATTGTCTGGCATAAATTGTCTGGCGGGCACGAGTCCTCTAGTCACTGGCATTCCATGGGTTGTCTGACCTGCACCTGTCTTGACACCCATTACGGAATCGTGTCACTTGTCGCATGACTCACTGATCAAATGTTTACCTGTTAAAACTGATCATAAAGCTTTCATATGAAATATAATGCTAGAGTTATTTGAAACAAAATAAACACATAGCATGCAACTGATCATAAGATAATGTACATGGGAAATATATTGTATCATGTATGTAAACTGAAATATCGTGCATACGTACACATAACCATACAAATCATATAAGAAAATAGATTTATACGTAGATATGCATCTTACTGTAAGTCTCATGAAGACTCACCTGTCCGTATAGATGGGCTACCGATAGCTCTTGAGCGAAGAACTATACATTTCGTACCATAATACATAACCAATGGCTTAATTTCTTCAAAAGTCAACTATGATCAAACTTTACCAGACTTAAAGCCAAACTCCAAAAACCGAGTCTCTTAATATCTCAATTATCCTCATCTAACCTTATTATTAAAATACTTATGGATCAAATGAGTTAAAAGTCAACCGTTGGTCAACTCGGTCAACCTCGACTAACTTTAGTCAAATCCCAAGTCTAAAACTCGATGACGTCCTAAAACGTCAAAATAATCATTTTAAAATCTTATAAATCAATCTCTCTAAATTAAAGCATCCCAACAAATACTTAACTCAAATTACAATGCTTAATCCGATTATTAAATCATCAAAAATAATTTAATGATTTATTATAAACATCTCTCCTTATAAATTAATTAATTAATATTAATATTCTACAATAAATTAATATATTAACTTGAATTAATATATTAATTAATTTAGAAACTAATTTATTAATCAATATAATCCAAATAATTGTAACTTAACCAACTTACGGGTGTTTAGAATTGCTTATTTGAAACAACTTATGTTTTTTTACAAAAGTCCTTATCAACTTATTATAAGTTAAAATGTTTTAACTTTTTAAAAAACTCCTTATCACCGGTTTGGTACCAGTATAAGTTGTTTATCCAAACACTCCAAAATGCTTATTACCGGTGTAATATCGAAATAAGTCAATAAGTTTTTTCCCTTATAAGCAATCCCAAAACCCCCTTAAACCCAAAATTGACTTATTATATATATATATATATATATATATATATATATATATATATATATTAAGGCCCATCTAAGCTGGCCCAACAACCAGCCCAGACCGGCTGGCCCAACGTCCAAGTCCGTCCAAAACTTTCGTTGCGTCTAAACTCGTCGGCAGCTGGTTTTCAAGACCGATTGGCCTCAGTTTTTGACTGTTTTTGCTTATTCCTTTTCTAAAACTCTAGAAAATCATTTTCCTCAACCATAGGAACAAAAATCAACGAAAACTATCAAGTATTGAGTCTCATTTGCTCATTTAAATATTGGGTTCGAAAATCAGTAAAAAAACTCAAAATAGGACCTCCAAAACTAAAATTGAGACATAAGACCATTAAGGTTTGATAGATGACTTAAAAACGAAGCTAACCATATGAATAAATTGAAATTTGGTTGAGTATTTACCTCCAATCGTCGATAACCGGAGCTTTTCGAACTCGAAATTCAACCTCCGATTTCAAAACATAAGTGTAGAGGAAAGTGTTGTCTACGTATATCAGAATTTTTTTGTCTTAATAGCTGAAAATTCGAATCAATAGGAAGCTTCAAATGAGTTGTCGATTTCAAAATTCTGAAAATAAATCAAGTATGTCATTTTATCATAACAGGTCCCTCATGTATGAGAAATTTGCTATCTGACACTCACCACTTTTAGAAAATGACATTCGACCCCCTGGTTTCAATACTTTAGCCAATTTTACACGTTTCACCCCCCCATCTGACATTTGCTTTTATTTTTAGTCCAATTGAACATAAGTTCTTTTCTTCACTTCTCACTTTCATTAATTGACCCTTTTTCACATTTTTCTTCACATTTATGGTCCAGTTAAATAAAAACCAATTTTATTTATTTTCCTTTACTTTTCGTATTTATTTATTTATTTACCCCCTTTTTGAGGTGTCATAATTACCATCAAGACATCCCTCCTATACTTCCAAACCGGTGTGCATTGTGTTCGGGTGTACCAAAAAAATGGCCAAAATATGACCCATTAGAGAAGACGATAGGGTTTTCTTTTTTCGGTTTATATACAATTTGTGTGTATATATATATATATATTATATTTGTATCAGAATTAAATACATTGTTCGTAGCTATAGTTTGATGGTTATAATAGAAATAAAAAGGAAAAAAAAATCAAAAGATAAAGTATAATGAAAAACCAAAAATAAGAGAAGGCAAAAAAAGACAAAATTACCCCTAATTTAATAGATAGTTTTTACCAGTGTCAGTGATCAAGGACCACTTTCAGAGCAATATGCAAACTACGAGAATAATTTCTAGATTTGTCAAAGTTTAAGTCTCACTTTCAAATATTTGACTAAACTACAGGGACCAAAATTAAGCTTACTCTTATAATTAAAAAAATTAATAAAAATGGTCATTTTTGGGCTTTGGATTCATTTTTTTGGCCATTTTTCTCTTCAAATTTCAAAAATATCACTATTTTTGCAATTGACACCTTAATTTGCGAAGGGGTCAAAATGTAAAAAAGAAAAGTTTCTGAAGAGGTGAGCGCTTACCAAGTCACATCACTTTACGGGATAAATATGACAAGGACAAAATCTTATCCGGTAAGAGCCGAAGCAAGAACCGAGTCTTACCCAGTAAGTGAGGGCGACCACTCTTACTATGATTAGTGCTTACCAGGATTAAATTGTTGCATACAATGCGTTTTAGTGAATAAAATCTTATCCGGTAAGTAAGTGATAGTGTTGAATTTTACCAGTAATTGCTTACCGGGAAAGTGTTTAGATAAACAACTCCTTAGATACTGCTGGATCAAAAGCCTATTTGACGATAAACCGGAAAAATGTAACAAGTGATGAAGACTTTACACAAAAAGAAGACATCTGATTCATTCAAAAACTGAGAACAAATCATCCATGACTTTATATACAAATGTATTCATATAAAACAGTATAATTTACACAGGGAGGTTGTTTCCGTGAAGACATGTGAGAAAAGTAGCATAGTAACTAAGAACGTAACTCGAATCAAAATTCAGCCATACTTCTATACGAAAGACCAACGGGTATAAAGCAAACCACGAGCGTGAGTAAGTTGAAGCTCAAAAGATCTTCGAACAATCGTTGGTGTCGGTAAAAAATCAGAGAAATGAAGATGTCGGTTTTTTCGTTTGATGTCAATCAGAACCCACATCTACCCCTTTGTGTTTCAAGAATTCCTTGGCTTCAATTACATCCTGCGAATTCAACCACAAGAAGTTTATTCGAATAAAGGGTCATTCGCTAATCGGTACCACTGGTAGAGTCCAACCTTCTTGGAGGTTACGATTTCAAGCCTCACTAACGGTGAAAAGTATATGCGAGTTCTGGGGTATATAGATATTATATACTTCGAAAATATTTTATATTATACAATTAAGGGAAAATTGCACCAAAATGGAACCAACTTTCACCTGATTCCTATTTTGGGGAACCAACTTTCAAAAATCGTCATTTTGGGAAACCAACTTGCACCTGATTCCTATTTTGGGGAACCAACTTGCAAAATAATTATAGAAAAATAACTAAAATTCGTTTTTTTCAAAAATTAATGCAATAAAATCTATTTTTCATTTCAAATTTGGTTTTTTTAAATTCAGATATCAAATTGAAGATATTTTCAAAAAAAATCCAAAATTACCACAATAAAAATTGTTTTTTACTCATGCAATAAAAAATCAATTTAATAGAAAAAAATTAATTGATGCAATAAAAAATTAATATCAAATATCACATTCAAGATTTTTATATCTAACCAATCCGTATCAATATTAAAGTTTAAATCAAATTTGACAAATCAAACCAAAAGTTTGATAGAGACCCTTAAATTACCTGTTACCTATTCAACTAATGAACCAGACCCTTAAATAAAAGTTTGATAGATACCCCAAAATGACGATTTTGAAAGTTGGTTCCCCAAAATAAGAATAAGGTGAAAGTTGGTTCCATTTTGGTGCAATTTTCCCTATAATTAATATTGGAATCTCAAATTTTGTTATAGTTGAATGTAGGTTTTTTAGAATATGAATACTCAATTCAGATGGTTTATCAGCAGAATGATATGTAATAACCTGCTGTAACAGGATTGCCTCTTGAGGACAAGTTGGAAATTGCATCAGACCAACCCCGACCATGAAGAGACCGTAGCATCCTAGCGACACGATGAAGTACAGAGGCAGCTGTCAAATGAAGAAATTAAGCAACGTTAGCTGATAACGATTCTTCAGGGTGCGTTTGGTAAGTATGCAGAGACGGACCCAGAATTTTTTTCAAATGGTGGCACCAATTGACTATAAGAAAAAACTATAGGGAAAAATTTTCAAACAGTGGCACCGTTTGACTATAAGAAACAGATATACGGAATTTTTTTTCAATCGGTGGCACTATTTGACTAAGAAAATGACACTAGCAAGATTCGAACTTGGGTCTGGGGTGGAATAAAAGCCTTGCAAACCAACTCTACTAAATAAAACTTGTTCTCATTGTAGTTTCAAAATACATACGGTGGCACACAACAGATTAATACGGTTGCACCTTTCACGAACCTAAACTATTTTACCCTTCAACGGAGGAATAATATTGTGGCACGTGCCACCGTAACCACCATGGTAGGTCCGTCCATGTAAGTATGACAGGACTGGACATGACAAAAGTGGACAAGACGGACAAGACTGAGGTAGACGGATGAAAAATTGTGGAAGGTTTTAGGGTTTTAAACTAACATGGTAAGTTAGTAATTTATCAATCTTGTCCATCTTCATATCTTTGTTCTAACTTATTTTGGTGGGACAAAAGAAATGCATTTTCGTCCCACTCTGTTCTGCATTGTCCAAGTCTAATATCGTGCCAGATGTGGGACAAAGTTTTTGTTCTGTCATGTCCCACCCGGGGCATTACCAAACGAACCCTGAATTAAAATACAAGAATTGGAGATTTAGGGGGTGCTTGGTTGGGGTTTACAGGGGGCGGGAATGGAAATGAAAATCATTAATGGTGGCTGGTTTGATGTAATGAAATAGACGTATGCTCAACAAATTTAGGGGAATGAAACCCAATCCCATTTCCATTTCCCCGCATTCCCATTTCCTGAAACAAACCAAACGGCCCCTTATAAATCAATCCATAAGCTCGAGATGAAGAGACTTACCAACCAAGTATGACTCCGTGGAATCATTGCAGTCTGTAATAGGCTTATCCATACGGCAGTTATGGCCACCAACAATGTCATAATCTTCACAATATGTTTCATTTGATCTTCACAAAATCAGGTTATCTCACACTAGCAATAATGTAGTCTGAAACAGCATAAGACAAGATTGATTAGATGCTTTACTTCCGGACTTGCTAGTTGGCTCAAATTCTTTGAATAGATACGTTATGAAGTTTCTTGAAAAAGTTGTAAATGATAAAATAAAAATGCATTTATTCAAGTATGTTTTGAGACACAAGCTGTGTTGATCTTTATGGGGAAAGAACAACCATATAGCATACAGCTAACAAAACATTACAAATAAGCTAGAACTTAACCAAAATTTCAATATGCAGAAGCAGGTTTAAGGATACAAATTTGAGGAATGAAGATAAAAACTAACCTCTGTTAGTCTAAATATTAACCTTAACTTCAATAAACAAGTTTTGGAGTCCCACACCAGTAGACGTGCACCATCAAACCTCTCTCTCTCTCTCTCTCTATCTATCTCTCTCTCTATATATATAGGCGAAGGATCATGTGAGAAGGAGAGTTAATGTGAGAAGCATGAGAAGGGATCTGGACCTTTGATCACCTTTAATCTCAAACCCATCCATGAATCGCGTTTGATACGGGGATTGATCCAGTGCATCTCATCCTAATGTGCATCAAGGGTGGAGATCCCTTCTTACGCTTCTCACCTTAACTCTCCTTCACACCGGAACCCAACTATATATATATATATATATATATATATACACACACACATATATATGCACACATACGTACCTGCCCTCTTATAGACTCTTTTAAAGAGAGATTCAAAAGGGTTCCACATATCCTAACATGATAACAAAGTTAAGGTCTAGCATCACTTAAAGACAAGACACTCTTTCGCCTCCATGCTTGAGAGCACCTTGGGAGTTTTAAGTTCCACATCGGCTAGGCTAGACACGAACCATCGAACCTATTTATAAATATATGTAGGATTCTCCATGGCTCTTTTAGATAGAGAATAATAGGGGGTCCACATATCCTACAAGAAAAGATTATCCGATTTTTTTCACTTCGAAAATACACATTCAAACACCCCTAAAGAAGAGAATGCAACCATCCCCCTGACTGGAACTGCAAATGCAGTACACACATTCATGTTACAGATTAGCATATACCAATCTACACTACATAAGCACAAAGTTGTAAATTTTAGGGATTTTGCAAGACTGCAATTAAATGAATGCATTGCATGTCAACCAAAAGAGGGAACCCAAAAAACAACTCCAAGCAACAGAATGTGGGGAAAAAGCAAAAGAATCCTTCACGTAATGCCATCAGATGAGATATACCGTTCAATTATTTTCACAGTCCCTTTAACAATATACTAATGGGACTCAAACATCATATAGCATACAAATTTTATACAGAACTGTTTCAGCAACATCCTTCAAGTTTTTGGGAAAGGACCCAATGTTCCGACCATAGAAGATATGGCGCAAGCAGGTTATGTTAACGCCTCTTCTCCTTTCCGTACCCTCATGACAAATATGTTGCAAACAAACGTCATCTCGGCAATTCCAGCTTGTTAGGATAGAACAGGACAGAATCGGTATCCAGACATGATAGAACACAATAGGACAGAACATTGTTCAACGTTTGGTAACACAGAACTAGACATAATAGAACAGATAAAATGACCAATTTACCCCAAATGAGTTGTTTATATATTTTATATGGTTTGATTAATTATGTCATTTATTAAACTATAATAAAATAAATATTTTTATAACATATAACATTATAAAGTTTTTGTCAAGAAGATTAAAATGAGACCAAAATAAAAGGTTTATGTCATTTCCAATTTTTATTTTATACATTTTCTATATTATTTTTTTACTATTAATATTTAATAAATTACGTAAATTAATCAAAATATAGAAACCATATAAAATAATATTTTGAGAACAAAAGTGGAAGTTTAAAGAGTATAAAATAAAATAAAATAAATAAAATTTAAAGAATGAATAAAATGTAAAGAGGAAGGCGTGTTTGATGTTTTAGAAGAGAATTATGTTCTATTTTAAGGTTATATTGATAAAACATAAGTCTGTTCCAGCTTGGCAGCTTGTTCCATGGGAGGGTTCCATTTTGTTCCTATTTGATCCACATAAAATTTCTGTCAAACGCAGAACAGGGATCCCTTTTCTTTTCCAGTGTACCAAACGCAGCCATAGATTTTCTCCAAAAGTGGATCAAACTCATTTTCTCTAAACAAGTACAGTTTCAAACAATATTCAAAACTGGAAATCAAGTATTCAAATGGCAGCAACATCCAACATTCCAGGTTTACAACAATGTTCAGAAATAGAAACCAAATATTCAAATTTCAAGTATTACGAAACAAATGATTCATGAACAATATTCAATACTAGAACCCAAATTTTCGAAACTTAAACAATGAAACAAATGATTCAGTAGCAAAATTAAAAACTGGAAATGATAATACGATGTTCATAACTGGAAAGTGGAAACAAATCAAGTGATCAACAATATTCAAGTACATTCAAAACTGGAAACAATATAAAAACTCAAACAAGGAAACAGATCAACAATTCAAGTATTCAAATCTCAATCGATGTCCATGAACCCTGAATCAAACAAATGAAAAGCAACAAAAATACAAAATGTTGTTTGAAGTTCTTAAATTTGGTACCTTGAATTTGAGTTGAATCAAATCGAGCGAGTAAAATCGATCTCCGAAGAGGTAGTGCTTCTGGGACTGGTGTCCAACTTGCACTTATAGCAGAAATCGATCGACCTGTTAGGGTTTCTCCGTTTTAGATCGAGCCGTGTTAGGGTTTGAGCGTTATGTTTCCTGAAATTGGTGGAATCATGGCGATTTTAGGCTTTGGGGATTTTGGATGGGTTTTCGGGTCAAATTAATGATCCGAGTGCTTTTTTAAAAATTTTATTTTCCTCCAAATCCAGATTTCATGGATTTTGATTGTTTTCATTGCATCTCTATCTAGCAGAATGGGGCTGGGATCTCAATTTTCTATTCTTGTTCCGGTCTCCATTCCCGTTGGAGAATATAATCACATTCTCATCTCCAACCGGGAACGGTGATCCCCAAAGGGGAAATAGAGATTTTTTGTTGTTTATGTAAGTTATTTTAAATTAAATATGTAAGAAACTATACATGTTTAAATCTCAAACAATTTCAATAAACTTAAACCAAAATGAATTTAATTTAACTTAATACGAAAAAAACCACAACATCATATAAGAATTAATAACCTATAACAAAAAAAAATTAATCCAAAAAAACTTAAAGTCACATGTACCAAAAGATATTAAGTAATATAAAATCATATCGAGTAATTGTATTTTGACTTGACATATGAAATATTACATATTAACATCCAAAAAAACAACAATATTAGATTATAAACCTAATTGAAAAATAGGAAACTATGAATTACCGTTTTAGTTGAAATAAATAATATATATATATATATATATATATAATTTCTTAATTAATATATATAATGGGTACGGGACAGGTCAGGGCATACGATCCCTGTCCCCATCCCCGATTTAGCGGGGAATCCCTTTCCCTGACCGGGGCGGGTGGATCGAGTTCCCCGATGGGACGGGACCCATTCCCGTGTCTATCTCTACCCGGCTCTTTCATCCATTTTGCCATAATCTCTCTATCGCCTCGAGACAGACAAATTATTTATAGAAATAGCAAGTATTTAGAAAAACTGGATTACATTCTAAATTCTACAAATCAAACGCACCAAATATTACAAATCCTTTCACGAAATCCAAATCCCTAAAAATCATCTCGTTAAACCAAACAGGTTCTTAGCTTTGGTTTGCAGAAATGAAATGGATTTGGGGGGATTTGGATTTCAAATCCATTCCAATCCCATGTTTGGTTTGTTGGACTGTCTGAATTTGAAAACATAGGATTTTGAAATCCTTAGGGGATGGATAGGATTTCACCGTATTTCATAGGATTGTATACAATGGAATTAATGGAAAATATAGAAAATAAATTTGTTATATTATTGAATATTTTAGTGCTATATTTGATGTCGGAGAGATTTTGACCTGCTTTGCGGGTAGCCCGAAGTCATCGCATTTGAACTTATGTGGCCACAAGGGGATTTTATTCCTCCTTATATTTGAACCTGGGACCTCCAGACACTTTTAAACTTTCGAGCCCAAGCTCAAACCAATCAGGCACCACCCTTGTGGTTGATGAAGTTGACGAAATCATGGGCTTGCAGATCTTTTCTTTTTTAAGCTTGACTAGAGACCACGAATTTTGTAGAATTTTCTGTGGAAGATTTTTAAAGAATTATCATGGGTCTCGAACCAAATGAACTGTTTTTGAAACCAGTAAAAATAAAACTCGAATCCCATCATTGAAAGATCAACAAAGGCTCCTATACCTCAAAGCATTGAATCGCCATATGATAGAAGATGTTGAATAGTCTAAAGACGTTATGCTGTAATATGAACTAGTATGGGAACTTTTGATTAATGATCTGGATATTGTCTATATAAATATATATTAGTTGTTAATAAAATCATCAACAAATAGTATTCAAATAATTCGAAAAGTTAAATAAAATATAAATATATACATACATGTATATATACCCATTGAAACAAACTCCATGAATCGACACAAATGCACCAATCCATATTCCACCTCATCACCGCAAGGTTTTAAATTTTATAATCCTCATAGTGTCACCTTATCACCCCAAGGTTTTACTTATATATATATATAAAGATATAATAGTATAATAATTTTGCACTATAATTTCTACCATTTGGTTTGATTGGTTTCCAACCATGGTTATAAATTTCAAATAAGGTCATCCAAAGAAAGATAACCCTATGAGGCATTTGGTTTGATTGGTTTCCAACCATGGTTATAAATTTCAAATAAGGTCATCCAAAGAAAGGCAACTCAATGAGGCAAACCCCATATTTGACACAAA